GGCCTGTTTTCTCAACTCTCCAACAGCCAGAGTTCCAGGGAAAATGAAGAAAAGCCTTCAAAGACACAATGAAGCTACCACTGAAGTGCAGCAACATTACATTAATGACTGGGAGAATCTCACCACCCATTATTCAGTATGGCAACTTGTCCGTTGAGGTTCCTCACACTTTGAAGCCAACGTCTCAACAACAATAGGCAGAGTGAGAGCAGAAAGGGGAATAGGAGGAAGCAAATCCTGCACTACCACCTCCCCAAAGTGCTCAAAAGGTCTGGGGGCTCAGGCACTTGCCTGTTCAGTCACAACCCTGAGTGGATGTCATCCTCAAATCAAGGGATAGCCAATACCAATCAGGCTCTTAAAACAAAAGTGCAGTATTACTCCCCATTACACACCGTTCACTCAATTATTGTCATCACTTGGTGATCTGAATTATTTACCAGGTCCTTTCACTGCCCTTCTTTTTAAAAAGGAATTGCTGCACCAAATTCCTTTTCATCAAGCGTGGTCTAAAGAAAATATCACTATCTTCTCTAAAACATTGTTTATTTCCTCAAAATGGTGAGACTCTCTCCTTCAGGGTCGGCCAAGGCCTCAATGCATCCAAACTCCACCACTGGGGCTTCAGTAAAAACCCCTTACACACTTATGGCAATGCACAGACAATGCTGGATATTAGCAAGAAGTGTCCCCTATACAGACTACACCGCGGACTAATTACCTGAAATTTACTTTGGGATTTGCATTCCCAGGTAGATGCCAACACGTTATTGACATTCAGATGGACATATGTACTAACACAATCTTATCAAAACTGGTACCATTGTAAATCCGCTCAACATCTGCAAAGATCATACTTGTATTTAAGACTGGAAGATTTTTTTTTAAAAAAGTAAAGAGTAAACTTGTGTCAGTCACCAGCCTGAGTGTCCCAAAAAGGCACTAAGGTCAGTTGTTCACCATAGATGTTGGACCAAAACATCACCAGTAGGGTTTCTCTTGGCTTATACGTTCAAGTAATTCATGGGGAGAAGACACTGAATAATTCAACATAGAAAACATTATCTGCAAAGTCTGGTACGCAGATAGTTCTGCTGCACCCCATGTTTCATTAACGCGGATTGCCGATTTTCTATCGCGATTTCCCTATGAACACGATTTACTATAGCGCAAGGGTGTACGAGAACACAACTTTCGCGCTATAGGAGAACTACCTGTGCTTGGAATGTCAAAGTTAGTTAACACTTATGCACTTGAAGTGCCACACTATAGCTGACCAAAGAAAACAGGGGACACAGTTTCCAAACTTTCACATTTAAGATCGTTTGGGACAATTTAAGAGGGCATAACAACAAGGCTAAGAGATGTCAGACCATTTCAGGTAAAACAGTGTCTTGTAGTGCAATCACTGTCGTGAATGCTGAACAGCCGGACTGTCATGGCAACACGTGACCTGGATGCACTTAAAACCCAGCAATATGAGAAAATTCAAAAGGTGACTATTTGAATTCAGGATAAACGAAACAAGAATGCAAGCTATCAATATGTAAGTATACCTACCACAGAAGAAGAACTAAAACTTGACCTTCTTAGGGGAAATAAGCCAGAACAGGTGACTAAACTGTCAATAGGCAAACACTTTGGGACTGCTGATCATAATTCTATTAGTTTTAAGTGAGTCGTGAAAAAGGAGAAGCCTTCCACAAAAGTTACGTTCTTAATTGGAGTAAGGCAAATTTTAATGGTACAAGACAAGAACTTTCAAAAGTTGATTGGAATGGACTGCTCGCAGGTAAAAGGGACAATTGACAAGAGGGAGGCTTTCAAAGCTGTGATGAGGAAAGTTCAGAGGCATTATGTTCCTGTTAGGGTGAAAGGTAAGGCTGACAAGATAAGGGTACAATGGATGAATAAAAATATTGAGGTTCTAGTCAAGAATAAGAAAGAATCATATATTAGATATAGACAACTGGGATCAAATGAATCTCAAGGAGTATAAAAAGAGTGCGTAGGGGCATTCTTCAGAGGGAAATCAGGAAGGCAAAGAGGGGATCTGAGATGGCCTTGACAGATAATTTCAAGGATAATGCAAAGAGATTCTACAAGTACATTAAGGGCAAAAGAGCAACTAAAGAGAAAATAGAGCCCCTCAAAGATCGACAAGGTCATCTGTGTGTTGAACCTCTGGAGATAAGAAATATTCATTTATTATCTCTCCTATCAGTTTTTACAGTGGAGACAGAAATGGAGGCTAGAGAACACAGGGATATAAATATTGATGTTTTGAAAACATTTCACATTACAGAAGAGCAAATGCTGGAGGTCTTAGAAAATATAAAAGGTGGATGGATATATTATCACGACCTGATCAAGCAAATCCCAGGACATTGTGGGAAGTTGGGAAGAAATTGCGGGATCCCTAGCAGAAATATTGGTATCATCTATAACCATGGGTGAGGTGCCAGAGGACTGGAGGGTGTCTGAATTTAAGAAAAGCTGGAAGGAGAAGTCTGGGAACTATAGCCTGACATCAGCAGTGGGTAAGTTGTCAGAGGTAATTCTGAAAGATAGGATTTACATGCATTTGGAGAGGCAAGGACTGATTAGGGATCGTCAGCATGGTTTGTGCAAGGGAAATCATGTCTCTCAAACTTAATTGAGTTTTTTGAGGAAGCAACCAAAAAGACTGAGGTCAGTGCGGTAGACGTTGTTTACTTGGACTTTAGTAAAGACTTGGACAAGGTTCCACGTGGTTGACTAATTAGCAAAGTTAGATCATATGGGATTCAGGTTGAGCTTTCCAACTGGATACAAAGTTGGCTTGACAGGAGAAAACAGGTATTGCATTTTGGTAAAAACGAACAAGGGCAGGACCCTGGATAGTATTGTAGAACAGAGACACCTCGGGGCTCAGGAATATAATTCTTTCAACTTTGCATCACAGGTCGGCAGGGCGGTTAAGGCAGTGTTTAGCATGCTTGCCTTCATTGCTCAGACCATTATGTATCGGAGTGGGGTCATCATTTTGAGCTTGTACAGGATGTTGGTGAGGCCTCTTCTGGAGTACCGCATGCAATTGTGGTCACCCTGCTGTAGGAAGGATGCTATTAAAATGGAGAGGGTTTAGAATAGATTTACCAGGATACTGCTGGGAATGGAAGGCTTGAGTTATCAACAAAGGTGATTAGACTGCAACTTGTTTCCCTGGAGTGTAGAGGTTGACAGGTGATCTTAGAGGTTCATAAAATCATCAGAGGCTTGGTAAGGTAAATAGCAAGAGTCTTTTCCCTAGATTGGGGGAGTTCAAAACAAGGGGCCGTATTTTTAACATAAAGGAGAAACATGTAAAAAGGAGATGAGGGGCAATTTCTTTTTAAAACCAGAGTGGTTCATTTGAAATGAAGTACCAAAGGAAGTGGCGAATGCAGGTACAGTTACAACATTTAAGAGACATTTGGATAAGTACATGAATAGGAAAAACTTAGAGGGATATGCACCAAACACAAGCAAGTGGGACTTGTTTAGTTTGGGGACATGGTTGGCATGGACTAGTTGGACTGAAGAGTCTGTTTCCATGCTGTATGATTCTTTGCCCTCAGGGTCCTCACAACTGTGAGCTCAAATACAATTACTGAGACATCACTTTTGTTACATTGAACGCAACCTGCACCATATTTTGAGTAAATTCCTACATTAAGATCTGTTCACCTTCCTGAAAAGGCTTTGAACTTTAGATAAGTTGTGTAGATGTTTTAAACTTCGTTTAACAACAACAAGTTTGTTTTTAAATTAAGTATCTGCACTTACCATCAGTTCTGACAAAAACTCCACTTCTCTCTCCCTAGATGCTGCCTGTCCTGCTTGGTGTATCTAGCATCATTTGACTGAGATGCCTCCAATAAAAACCACACAATCTAAACTGATGTAGTTTGCTGATACACATACAAAGCACAGGAGAGTATGTCCTTTGATTAAAAAACTGTATAAACAATTCAAAGTACAACATCTCCAAGAAACAGTTTTCACATTTTCTGAAAATTGAAAACAGATGACAGGGAAAATAACAAATCTGCATGTTAACTTAGGTTACATTTTGCTAATTTTTTTTTAAATGCTTGTTTGAAACTGTGACCTCACCCTGAGTTACAAAGAAAGAAAGAATACAACCACTCATGCCACAACCAACTCCCAGAGCTCATGATATCCAGTCTCAAGCAAACGTACTCTATCATATTTACAGAATCGTTCATATCACTAATTAAGGCAGCTTTGATCACCATCTCCATAATATCATGACAAGAAAATAACACGTTCAGATAGTATTTTCACTGCTTCTGGTCATCCCAGAATGTTACATGGCCTGTGAAATACTTATGAACTGTAGTTAATTTTGGAATGCAAGTAGTGCGCAAGTTGGCTGCTGCACAGCGTGCTCCCATCAGTGAGCAATATGATGGCCACATCATCTGTTCTAAGCTGGTTTGGGGAGAACTATTGGTCAACACTACATGGAGAGTTTCCATTCTCCTTTTCAGAATGGTGCTGTGGAATCAACTTGGAGGGGCAAAAAGCAAGCTGGTTTAATAGTTACTCCAAAAGACGGCATCCAGCAATGCAGAACACCTGGGGTTGTTAGCCTTCATGATAGTTTAAGTATCCGCAGTAGTACTTTGTACCACGATTATTTGATTTACAGGCAAGAATGCTACCCATTGAGCTAGACTGGACCTTCAGCTGTGCAAGTGGTACAAACTCTTAAAGCATCATAGTTCTGATGCTAGGATTCCTATGGCTATTGTACCCAAAAACTATTCTTCCTAGTAAACATTGGCAAACTATTAAATCGCACAAGACATCAACTGTATTTGATCCCATTTTCACCAAGCTCCAGATTTAAGTTTTAAGTGGCAAAATCTCACTTGCGCACTAGATTAGGGCAAGACCACAAACTGCCAATATGCAAGGCACTACCGTACTATATGCAGTCCACAGGTACTCACCATTTTTTCTTTTGTTCAATGGAGAGAGGCCATTGTTTGACTGCAATGTGAGCTCCTGCAATTCATTTGTGACCGCTTCACTCTGTGGACTCGGAGCCGAACCATCATCTTCGCCATCGCCAACCCCACTGCCGTCTGCTCCAGTCCCAGAGACAGCAGGGGGAAGGCTAACTTCATTCGGCAAATCCACCTTGGCGTGAATATTAAGCTAAAAAAAAAGAAAAGGGGGGGGAAAGGTTTTTAAAAAGATCACACACATCCCAGTTGCTAAAAATGCTCGAAAAAGGGAGAGCAAAGGATAAGCTGCAATTAATTTTTAACAGTTTGAAATTATGGACTTTCTGTACTATTTCAACGATGAGATGTCATGAAAACAGACAGGCAATAGATTCAAAACCAAACACTTGTGCACAGCATCCTCCAAAATGACCTATGTCTCTTCAAATTATTAATAAGTGTTAAGATTGCAACTCTGGAAACAACAGCTCCAAAGGATTTAATGCTTTTCAGATAGTGAAACTCAAGCTAAGAAACTCCATCGCAACATCAAAACCCCCTCCCATCACATTAGCTGAGCTTTTGGTCATCGTTGTCCAACTGACTGTCCGTTATTTAATGCTTTGTGAAGCACTTTAACATTTCTTTAGATTAAATACAAAGTAATTATATATAAATAATATGTACATTAGAGAATGCATAGATATCCCATTGTGCTTCACTAAAGTCATTTTCTTGCTTTGAATACATATATGCATGCTGTTGTCAGTAAAACACACTCAAATCTGAACTCTGGGGACAGAGGTAGCTCCACTTCAAAACGAGTTAGAGATTTCAACTGGAAAAACCACAAAACTAACTGCACCATGTACTCACATACGTTCAGAGTGTGCCATATTGGGTTCTAAATATCCACGGTTTCGCTGTCCAGGGATACAAATCAGATTTGCTGAAATTTTCCAGTAGTTTCCATTTTTATTCTGCATATGCTACACCACTAACCAAGAGAACAACAATGAACTACATTCAGGAGAAATGAGTCACTGTGCTCCACCTTGGGGCAAGGGGCAAAGAGATCCCAATCATTAAATGGAAGGTAGCAATCCATTATTCATAGAACAATCTGCATCACACTTACTCGAGCTCATTTTAAACCTAATTATGGTGCGGTTCTTAAATCACAATAATTTTTCTCCTTGTCAACCAGAAGCTGGGTGAGCATGCGTTTTAGGAGTCTCTAGAGAAACCCCAATCAAGCTAGTTTCTGGATTAAAATAAACTATATTCTTCCAGTAGAAACACAGTTATATTGGATTGAAAGAAAAAGACACAGAAGTAATACAAATTCAAACCCACTGCTTCCACAGACGCTGAAATTTCACATCCATGGCAGAGATGAGGCCAACAACCACCAGCTGCATTTACATAACCCTTATATATGTGCCAAGGTGCTTCACAGAAGTAATGTCAAACATAGCCTGACACCGATATTAGGACAAATTAACAAACGTTTGATCAAAGAGGTAGGTTTTTAAGCAGCCTCTGAAATGAGGAAAGGAGGGGAAATGTAGAGATTTAGGGAATGAATACCCATGCTAGCGGCCTTGCATGGGCACTGACCAAGAGGAATATCTTCTCAGCAACACTATCAAATCTCCTCACAATCTTGCATATTCCAACCAGATCACTTCTCATCCTTCTGAACTCCAACAGGTTTAGGACCAACCTGCACAACTTCTGCTCAAGATTGAGCCCCTTTATCCCCAGAATCAGACAAGTGAATCTTCTGAAATGCTAATACACAATTGTGCCCTTCAAGTAAAGAGACCAAAACTGTACACAGTATTCCAAGTGCAGTCTCACTAAGGCACTTTATAGCTGTACAAAACTGCTACTTTTACACCCAAATCATCTTCCAATAACAAAAGGTCCTTGCTTGTTTGGCTCGATTTGCCTTGATTACATATGTATTATCTATCTCAATGACACTTTTTAGTCAAGAACCTCTCCAAATACTAGTGACTGCCTTGGTTTTATAGGTTCATGTTTTTGTTTATTGATAACACTCCACTTCCCCTGCAACTGGCAACATCTCTTCCCTTCTTAGCCTATCGACCTCCTTACCATTGTAGGCCATTTTAGCAAGGACAAGACTTTTTTCAAAAAGAAAAAAGCCTTCATTGCACCCGTAGCTAATGTAGGCCTGTGAGCAAGGTGTAGTAAGGTGCAAAGGTGATCAAGTAGTGGTAATGTCACTGCACTAGTAATCCAGAACCCCAAACTAATGTTGTGGGGACAAAGGTGCGAATCCCACCACAGATGGGGAGATTTGAATTCAATAAAATGTTGAACTAAAAGCTACTCTAATGGATGCCATGGTACCAGTATTGATGGTCATTAAAAACCCACTAATATTCTTATATTCATTAGTATTATTTAGGAGAGAAAGAATAGCTGGTCTGGCCTACATGCAACTCCAGACCCACAACAATGTGACTGACTCTCAACTGAGTAGTTAGGAATGGGCAATCAAATGCTAGCCTGGCTAGCAAGGCCCTCCCTCCCCCCACCCACAGATAAATTTCAAAAATAAGCTAAGATGTGTCTGTCTGCACAGTTCCTTCTCTACACCCCCACTTCTGACCAAGGAATTTTTTTTTTTTTAAAAACAACAACTGTGTAAAGCATTTAAAAATGCAGTTGTAAGACACAAAATTATTGCAGCTTTTGCAGGCTAGATGGCTTCAGTTCTGCTTACTGTAAAACTGAAAAAAGGTCCCACGATGAGCAAAGGAAATTCCCAGGGAAACTACAACCTGATATTATTTCCACACGTTAAAGGAAATTTTAAGAAAAGATCATCCACTTTCAATGAATCAGCTAAGTAGTAAACTTCAACAAGGCAGTTGTGTGCCAAGGTACTGGACTCCCAAGGTTTGCTATCCACGAAGGACCAGTGTGCCACACTGTAACACACAATCGTACTACTGATACAAGTTGTCACTTGCTAACCAAGAAGCAGGAAATTCAAATCTCTGAACATTCTGAAGGAGGGTCACTGGACTTTCTGTCTACAGATGTTGCCAGCCCAGCAATTTGTCTTTGTTCCTCAATTCCAGCATCTGTATTTTTTTGGTTTATTTCATTCAAATCTCTGTACAAGAACAAATAAAATTGAAGAGCTATTTTGAAAACAGCTTGAATTTAGTCAATTATTGAAAGATTATTAAAAGCAAAATGCAAGGGAATGAAAGGAGCTTTTTTAACATGGGTTGGAAATTTCTTGCGCAGAGGAGACAAGGGAGCAGGGATAACAGGATATGACAACAGGTCCTCAGCTTTTTCAACATTTGTGTCAATGACTTGAACGAAGGGAGACATTTTACATATTTAAGTTTAAAGATGGCACCAGGTTAAGAGAAATACAATGTTATTTTGGATGGGAACATGAAGTTGCAAACTAACATGCAGTAAGTGATTGGACAAAATGTGTCAGACAGAGGTTGATGGGTGAGGGGGAGGTATGAGGCATTCTTTGAACCTAAAAGACAAATGTGGCATTGTTTAAATGGTGAGAGGCTAGGAGCTCTGGAAGAGCAAACTGATTTACATGTCTACATACACAAATCACTAATGCATGAGCACAATAGGTAATGAAGAATACCAATGCACCATTGGCCTTTATCACAAGGAAGCTGCAATTCAGAAGGAATGCACTTCAGCTGTCCTAGACCATATCTGGAGGGCAGTAAATTGGAGAACACACCTCTTAGAATCCGTACCAGCGTGGAAGCAGGCCATTCAGCCCATTGAGTCCACACCCACCCTCCAAATAGCACCCCATCCAGACACTCCCTACCACAGCCCTGTAACCTTGCATTTCCCATGGCTAACCTACATATCCTTGGACACCATGGGCCAATCTACCTAACTTGCACATCTTTGGACTGTGGGAGGAAACTGGAGCACCCACAGGAAACCCACACAGACACTAGGAGAAAAAAAACAAAGTTGCTGAAAGAGCTCAGTGGGTCTGGCAGCATCTGTGAATGAAAAGAAAGAGTTAACATTTCGGGCCCGGTGATCCTTCCTCAGAACTCAGACACGGGGAGAACGTGCAAACTCCACATAGACAGTCGCCCAAGGCTGGAATCGAACCCAGGTCCCTGGCAATGTGAGACAGCAGTGTTAACCACTGAGTCACCTGACCACCCTTAAGGAAAGACATACTGGCCTTGGAAGGGGTTCAGTGCAAAATCACCAGAATAAAAGCAAAACTTAAGAGTTTAAGTTACAATGGTAGACAGCTTAAACCTAGAATTACGATAGTAGACTACAGACTTGGCAGGCATTCTTTGAAGTTTAGACATTAAAATGATGATCTAGTTACAGACTTCAGAAATGACAAAGTGGCTTGATAGGACAACTGTCCGACTTCTTGTGCCAAATATACAGGATAACGTTAAATGATAGCAATATGTGGAGTGGTGGTGCAGAACATGCTCAAGTGGCTGTTCCCCATTCTTTGAACAACCCAATAAAATCAAGGTAAGAGATTGATACTGGATCAAAAAAGCTTCTTCTTTGAAGTGAACAGGCTGTACAAGAGTAGGAATAAATACAGGAGATAATGCTTGAGTTTTAGAGTCAACCTCTAAGTATAGCTAATGAGCACTTCATAGCTCAGTGCCAGGAAGGCTACAAGCAATGATGCTAACCATGAGCTGGTATTTGTAAATGACCTAGACATCATGTGAGGAGCAACAGGTGTGACCCTCTTGGGGATAGTTACAGATTGTATTGAACATCCCTCTTAATTCAAAATATAATTTGAAGAGCTAAAATTGAAGATCATTGAAATGAGTGAAGTAGTAATCTAAATGGATTGAAGGAGGTTTTTGAACATTATAGGAGCAAATTACTGCAGATGCAGGAATCCACAGCATGTCAGGCAGCAACCATGGAGAGGGGGACAGCAAGCTAAAATTTCAAGACTATATGTCTGTTCATCAGAGCTGACATGAAGTGTGGACAGGACAAAGGTGCTAATAGCACAAATTAAGTGATCAGTACGTGAGAATGGCAGAACAACGGTGTGTCTAAATGCCAAACTGGGAAGAACAGACAGTCCCACAGGAGTGGGAGGAGAGAGAGGACATGGTGACAGAGAATGCAATTATAAAACTAAAAGGAAGGGAAGGAAGGGGTGTT